CTACTTCAATACACTTACCTGTAGGTTTCAAACAAGCCTGAAGGACTCAATTAGACAGTTTGATCAGGCGTGTTTAATTAGGGTTGGAACTAAACTGTACAAGGCTGCGACCCTCCAGGAATTGAGTTTGACATCCCTGCCTTACATGGTCGCCCACTGAAGCTAAGCAGGGCTGCACCCGGTCAGTACATAAATGGGAGGCCACAAGGGAAAACTAGATTGCTGCCGGAAGTGGCGTTAGTGAGTGCAGCAGGTGGTGCTCACTGGTCTGCGGTCTGTGTTTGTTCGAATGCCACAGTATGTAGACGAATTACCATGTTTGTAAACATTAAGGATCCGCGCAGGGAGGTGGCAGAAAAAAAACAGGTGCGCTAGCATTTACAGCGAGTGGATGACATCTGATGCGGTAGAGTTTGTTGTTGTCATAGAAATAAGTTATATTGATTACATATTATATATATATTATTTACATAATGCTTTCAGCTATCATAACAGCTTGTCAACCAGTGATAAGCACAGCGATTCTGCAAAATTAACTTTAAAGTGAGCGGCGTTTGTCTTGCATGTCCATTTGCGATAGCACCCTCCCAATGCATATTGTATAAGATGAAATGGCCAAGCATCCAGCCCCAAATATACAATCTCATTGAAGCTCCAAGTGTTTTAACAAGAGAGAAGTTAAAGGGCTACAAGTCTTTGAATGCCAAGAATTTTGTTCTGTGTTGTCATTTGAAAGAAATAATGTTCCATGATTACCAGATTCAAAACTATGTAATGCTAAAAACCAAACCATAGCCAAAGACAAGGAAAAAAGATGGAGCTATACAAGGCCTGGGTAATCATCAACAAGCAAAACAACTGCAGTCTGACAGCAAACTAAACCTGTAAGGCAGGGTATGTGAACTTGCACATAGAGGTAAAGTTAGTTTTATATTTACACATTCAGACTTTCTCCTTAATAATATCATTTCATGAAAGTATTATTTGCGAATTGTAAATAGCGAAATCATATTAGCAGCCAATGACTATCAAAGTACAACATGTTCACAGTAAAATAAACTGTTAATGTTGTTTAAGTCACACTTGCAGGTTATTTCAGACGGAATATTCAAAGTGCCGTGGTAAACAATACAGGGAGAGTGTCACAAGTTGTCACTGAATGAATGTGTGAATATAAAACCAACTTTACCTTAATTACTTACACTTTCACGCTTCATTCTTAGTATTCAGTGTCCGCAGTTTAATTAACCATGTTTAACTGTTTTTGCTGAAATCATTGCAAATCAAAAACGAGTAGCGTGTATGATTTAGCATAGCGTGGGCTTACCTGATATAAAACTGCAGAGTCGAGTATTTTTAATTAGGTCATCTCGTCACTTCATTCAGGTCTCTTTTTGCCAAAGACGTCTGCGGTTGGCATTAAAAGCAGTGTGGTGTACGGTAAATGTTAAATTTTTGTTTTTTTGTTTTTTTTTTTGACTTTGGAATTTGACATCCTACCGCACAACACAACATGTTTACCATTGCCACGGGTCTCTTTTTGCAACCGGGAACCCGTGTGACGTAGGTTGGTAATTTGTCTATTAATGGGGACTCTATACTGCTCAGTGAGCACCGTCTTCTGGATGAAACATTAAAAATTCGTTAAAAATCACAAGATGTCCTTCAAAAAAAGAGTAGGGGTTTAACCCTGTCATCCTGGCCTGATTTGCCCACTGGCCTCTGTCCATCATGGCCTCCTAACCATCCTCCTATCACATCACTCTGTCTGCTCTCCACCAATCAGCTGGTGTCACGTCATCCAAGTGGATGCTGCACACTGGTGGTGGATGAGAAGATTCCCCCCAAAAATCTATAAAGGACTTTGAGTGTCAGGAAAAGCCCTATATAAATGTAAGGAATTATTATTATTATTATTATTATTGTTGTTGTTGTTGTTGTTGTTGTTGTTGTTGTTGTTGTTGTTGTTGTTGTTTTTGTTTTTATTAAGTACTTTTTCCTGTTGATTAGTTTTGTGGAAACTTGGAAATGTTTAGGATTCTTTAATGAGTTCAGAATAACAAAATTAGTTTTTATTATTATTATTATAAATAAAGTTTAGATGAGTTTAGAAATAAACAGTTTCCACAAAAAGATGAAGCAGCATAACAGTTTTAAACACTGCTGATAATAATAAGAAAAGTTTCTTGACCATCAAACGATTTCTGAAGCATCACGTTGCTGAAGACTGAAATAATGATGATGAAAATTCAGCTTTAAATCACAGAAATAAATTAAATCATAAACTACATTTGATTAAAGAAACTCATTTTAAATTGTACAAATATTGAACAGTTTTACTGCATTTTTGATCAAATTAATGCAGCCTCGGTGAGCAGAAGAGCCATTTTAACACTTTTTGTTTTTGTTTAAATCACACTAATCCCAAACATTTGACCGGTAGTGTATATCCATGACGGTGGAGGCTGGATTTTGTTGTGGTTTTTGTTTTTTATAGCCCTCCGCCCCCTTGGACTGAAAGGAAATAGAGTGTTTCTTTCAGAGAGAAGGAAGGTAGAGCAAAATGCACTCAGCTGTCCTCCTTCAAATGTCACTATCAAAGGTCTAGCATGTGTGTGTGTGTGTGTAAAGAGAGAGAGGTTTTAGCGAAATGATGTGCAAGCCATAAGAAAAGGCCACCTTTCCTGGCTCATCTTTGCTGTTGCTCTATTTCTCTCTCTCTTTTTTTCCCGTACATTGATCTGTCATTTAAAACTGATCACTTCATTATGTCCCCGAATGGCAACGTTACGTGGGAGTCGTGAGCTTGCTTAACCGAGTGCATTCTCGTTTATGACCAGCTTTTATACCCAAGGCTAACGGCCTTGGTGGCTAATGGTAATTCAGTGGATGCTGGATTGATGGGATTGTAGTTTAATGCTTGGAAACACATAAGTGTCGTAACTAAATGAGAAGTTAAGAGAGGGGTATTTGGTTTAATGGGTTTTTGGACCAATGAGGTTTGGTGGGTGGGGTTATAGAGTGATGATGCCTGTATTTATATGGTTGCATCAAATAAAAATTTGTCCAAATGAGCTATACAAATAATAATAATATAATACTTTAATTCATTTATTATTATGCATAATAATAATTTCACAAAATATTAAAATATTAATACAATTTTAGATGTTATATAATAACATATATTTACTAAAGAATGATAGGAAAAGATTTTTGATAACAAATAATAGAATGTATTCTGAGATTACAAAATAGTTTTTACTTTTTTATGATGACTTTTAAACCTATATTTCTCTGTGCAATATAGTAGTGTGTGTTTATATATATATATATATATATATATATATATATATATATATATATATATATATATATATATATATATATTATACAGTTGAAGTCAGAATTATTAGCCCCCTGAATTATGATCACCCCTGTTTATTTTTTTCCCCAATTTCTGTTTAATGAATTCTGTTCAAAACTGAAAAAATTCAAAAATTGTATTATTCTCGCCGAAATAAAAAATAAGACTTTCTCCAGAGGAAAAAAACTTTATCAGACATACTGTAAAATTGTCCTTGCTCTGTTAAAAACCATTTGGGAAATATTTAAAAAGGAAGAAAAAAACTCGAAATATATATAATTTTATAATTTATATATAAATTTAATACACCCACACAGATTCCATTTTTAATTTCAGTTTTAGTTATTTTATTCCAAGTTAATGAAAATTTTAACTATTTCCTTTGCAGCTAGTTGAAATAAAACTTTTTATTAAGTATATTTTATTTCCGTTAACATAGATTTTTATTTCAAATAGAAAAAACATAAATAATTATTTTTAGGGGTTTTTCACCTTTAATTGAGCTCAGGTCACTGTGAGCACCATGGAGCTATATGTCAATGCACTTAATGTCTAGGCTATTGCTGCCAACTCAAATAGCAAAAATTGAATGAAATAGAATTTATATTAATATCAAAATACTGATTTAGATATAAAAAACAAAACAAGTAATAATATTAATCAAATATATTTAGTTTTTAAACAGCTTTAGTTTTAAACATTAACATATTTCAATCCAGGCTCATTCTGAAAACCTACTACTATACATTTCTAGAAAGCGCCATATTCGTCCCAGGAGGTTGTTTTTTTTTTTTTTTTTTTTTTTTTGAAGTTTCATTTTCGCATATCTATCAGAAGTCGATGTGTACACTTTTTGAGATGTCAAATTTCTCTCGCAAGTGCCATTCTTGCCTGCCGTACTCGCATATATCCACCAGAGGCCGCTGTAGACTGACTGACTGATTGACTGACCCACCCCTCCTCCTTCCCTAAACCCAACCAATAGTGTTTTCAATAGCACCAATTGACCCGCCCACACACTTTTTCCAAAAACAATCGACAGTTTTAAAAAATAATAAATTTTAAAAAAAGGCCTTCCCTGATTTTTTCCACGTTTTCTGATTTTACCACATTCTCACCCTGTTATTTACTTGATTACTTCATTTTTGGCTTCTGTTTATGTCTTACCCACTTTCTGGAACCGTTCTACGCCATACTCGAACCCCGTCATTGTGGTCAACTATTCTCTGCATCTCAAGTCTACCGACGTACATGGCGAGCTACTGAGCAAACTGGTAACAGTAGGAAAGCCGTTCATACAGAGGTAAGCGGTCAGCTTGTAAGCACGAAAAGGAACAGCGTCATACCGCCTCGTAGCGTTCATTTTAAAGACGAAATGCAGGCATACAGACTTCTGGCTGCATAATTCCCGATCTCTAGAAACGTATATAGGGCTACATTTTCAGAATGAGCCTATGTTAGCGTTAAGTTTTTATTATTTAATGTAACTTTTATTTAACAATCCTGGTTTATACACTATTTAATATTAATCTATATAATATAATATAATATAATATAATATAATATAATATAATATAATATAATATAATATAATATAATATTCATGTCTTATGGATGAAATATTTTCACTTACCACTGACAAGTATTGCGAAGAACTGCGAACATCATCAAGCCTATAGATTAATTCTCCATATTGCCTTCTTTTCTCACAATCTCTAACATTTCTTATTTCTTTTTTTCCGAAGGTTTCCACTCGCTAAACCTACGTTGCGTGATTCACACCTAAAGCTCTTTGTGGGACATTTTCTCCAGCACAGACCTGTTATTCGAACTACAGGCACGTCGACTGAATCATCCCTTTCATTTTGAGCCTCATCGGAGCGAACGGGCCGAGGACACAAGGTTTCCGCAGTATAGCCTTCAGATAGAGGCGACATTTTCCAGGCTCTGCAAAGTCTTCTCAATGGAAAGGGCAGGTAATACCACATTATGAGCTCCCATCAGTCTCGGATTTCTCCGGATTCAGGCCGGGGTCCCTGGAGAGCTTCAGCTCGGGTTACTTGGAAGCTGAAAGCACACATATAGCAAGAGCTTTTTAATAAATATTCATTCTCACAGACAGTAAATCAATTCCGTCTTCCAGTGAGAAGAACGCAGATATTGAAGTAAATCTGGCTAAAATTACTCCCATTTCTCCAGACACCAGCACTGACCCGATTCGCTGTGGAAGACTAGTGATTTTGTTGTTGTTTCTTCTGCTTTCTGACAACAAGTCACAGTCTACCTCAGCGAGCGGGCCCTTTGGCTAATGGTGTAGAGACCACAAGCGCTCGTTTACGCCTTCATTAGACAGGTGAGTCGTGTGTGATTGTTGCTTGTAGCTGACGCTCATAATTAGCCATGTTTTGGACACTGAAACGCGCCGCTTAACAATGCGGCTGATTACCTGGCTTTCGTTTCTACCAAACCAAAAAGCATCGTTTTTTTCATGCACCTACCAATTTTTGGGGCTTTTCATAAAGATTTTTTTTATCAGTATAAATGGAGAGAAAACAACTAAAGTAGACTTTTAAGTGCTTCTTTTGTCTTTTTTTTTTTTTGTCATTTTGTGTCAACAGATTTCAATTAGAGTTCATATTTTTAAAGGTCGTTTTCTCAAAATGATAGATAAATCTGAACTTCACAAAAAATAAAATACAAAAGTTACACTATTATAGATTTAAGCTTTTATTTTAGTTTTTGTTAGTTTAATTTAAGTAAACATTTGAACTCTTTTCCTTGCAGATATTTTCTTTTTAATGAATTTTATTTCAGGTACATGTATTTATTTTCAAGTAGTAAAAAACAATTTATATAGTTTAATTAATGCAAGATTTTATTGTGTAAATACTGATGTAGATATAAAAACTAAACATGAATGATCGTAATATTTTGTCCGGGTTTTTAAATATATTTTATTTCAGTTACATGGATTTTATTTTAGTAGCAAAAACAGTTTATGAAGTTTAATTTATGCAAAAGTAGGTTGTGTAATGCTGATTTAGATATAAAAAACTAAGCGAGTATAATCGTAACCTTTTGTCCAAGTTTCGCAACGTTTTTACATAAACTTTATTTGATTTAACATTTAATTTCAAGTAGGGCTGCACGATGTTGAAAAAATCTAACACTGCAATATGTTGTTGTTCTGCAATTTCTATTTGTTATAACTATTTGGAAAGATTTTATCATTTTAGATTGATTTGGGATGATTCTGTATGAGAGTCTACATAAAACATAAGAAAAAATCTATGAGCACAGAAATTCAATAAAGAAAGATGTATGAATTAAATAAACAGCGTTGTGGTGTTTTTTTTTTTTTTTTTTTGTTTTTTTTTTTGAGGCACCAAACTGTATTTGGGTATACAGTAATTGAATAACCAAATGTAAAATAATACTGCATATGCATGACAGTATGATGACCCTGTATTGTGATTACTGCTCTAAAAAATATTCTTTTTAAATGTTCGGGTATAAAAAAAAAATATTTTTTTTCCTTTTTGAACACACTATATTTTATTTTGAGAAACATTTGAAATAGTTTGGAGCAGTAAACATGTAAGGCTAAATAATGAGAATGAATTATCGACGTCTTCATTTGTTTCCAAACCACAGATTTATTTTTACAATTTAAAACTGCATCTTTGGATATCTGTTCTGTTGCAGATACTGTTGTCCTAAAAAATGTAAATGTCAAAGTCTTACACACGCCGGTACCTTATAAACAGTATAGCAGAAAATTTTGACTGTTTGAAAACCTTAACTTTTCCAAACCACTGTATACCTTGTAAATGGTTATTGTCCCATGCCTACTGCATAGTCTTCCTTTTCTAAAACAAATCAATAGAATTTGTTGTTATTAATTTGTCAAAGTTAAAAACACTACAATATCTTATACCTGAATGCTTTTAAAACCCTCACACAGGTCTCAAAAAACACTTGCAAAATGATCAATTAAAACCCAGACTTAACATTGTGTATATCGCGATGTGACTATTGTGAACGATTACATTGCGATATCAATGCTGAAACTATATATTGTGCAGCCCTAATTAGGCATCGGCCGGTATAAGTTACTGATAACCTTGGATAAAAATATCATGGCTGTGATTAAAGCTCACATTTTAGTAAAAAACAACTTGTTTCCCCACTGCACAAAATATATTTTAGGAAACATTTATAATATTTTGGAGCAATAACCGTGTCAGGCTAAATAATTTAAATAAACCATTGACTTCTGCTGTCTTCATTGGTTTCAAAAACACAGATTTCTTTACAATAGATGAAAAAACACTTAAAAAAAAAAAACCTTTACATATACCTTAGGAACAGTGTTTTTTTACCTTGACATTTCCAAACCGCGATAAACCTTAAAAGTGGTTATCGTCCCTGCCTAGGGCTAATTTCAAGTAACAAATTGCTTTTATTTTTTTGGTTTTACTTTAATTTTATTTCGTTTTAAATGCTGGTTTATACAACAAATTTTATTGTATGTATTTTATATCAACAAAACATTTAAAGCAGCACTACAGCAGATTCATATCTATATTCTGATGATTTTTTACCAAGAGATGTGCGTGTGTGTGTTTATTTGATTGTTTATATTCATTTTATTAAACAAAAATTGAAATTAGTATTTTATATAAGCAAATCAGTGAATATTTCATAAATTAATGTCTTGTTTACTAATTTAACCATAATTAAACACAATTTTCAACGTAAATTGGTCAAGTCTGAAATTATAGCTCCAGTGTTATTACTTAAATTAGATAGATCTATATCAATAGAAATATATATAGAATATTTAAAAAGCGCCATTAGCCAAGTCTGTTTTTAATTTATTCCACTGTACTTCTGTTGTTGCCAAAGCTCCGTCGACCAACTTAAGGTGAACATTTTTATGTGTGTGTGTATATATAAGTGTGTGTGTGTGTAGGAGGCTGATGTGTTTCAAGGCCTCGAGCTGCTTCTGACTTGATCTTTTATTCATGCTAAAAAAGAGGGAAAAACGCCTGTACACTTTCTGATGAAGCAATTATCTCACGAGCAAATCGCTTTTGTGTCGTCTCTGCGATCCCATCAATATTTTGCTTTACAACTGATTTAAAAAAAAAACGTCATTCTGATACCTGTCTTGAGTCGCCTCCTTTTTTCACCTCCCCCTTCTTTACGAATCAGATACACTCCTGTTGCTTTATTAATCAAATCGCCCGAGGTTATTAATCTAGTCCCTCTTAATTAAGAGGCCATAGATAGGTGAATTGCAGCATTTGTAATGGCATTGTGCGGCTGATGGATACACGGACCAATAAAAGCCTTGGGTAATGGCTTCGCTGTGACTATGAATATGCATTAGCCGGGGCGAACGGTGAACAATGAGAGTGGGTGGTACCTTCAACTCTCAGCGAACGGTGTAGGATGTTGCCATGGCGACCAGCGTGGCAAAGCGGCCGCTGAATTACTAGCCTCGGCCTTGAGAGGGGCTGTTGTCGACAATACTCGCCGTCTGCTTTTATCATGCTAAAACTATGGAGTGCACTAGGTTATTACGACTCCATTACTTTAAGAGTAATTCATTTAATATCAGTCCTCTCTTTAAAAAAAAACATTTAAATATATTATATTTTTAAACCCATTCAGGGTCGGGATGAACTGAGGGATTGATCCGTATGAACTCAGTGTTATTGGAGGTGGGTTGAAGATTGAGAGGGAGAACGCGAAAGAGCGCTGTTTTCATTTGCAACCATGCTCTATATTATGATCAAATCTTCCCCTTGGTGACGGGTCAAAGGATTTCAATTACCGCAGAGCAGGCTCTCAACATCCTGGCCGAGCGCGCAGGGTTCAACAGGTTCATCAGCTGGTAATTTCCCCCCATTGCACCTACTGTATGGGAGGCCTTGGTTAAATATTTTGGAAAGTAAATGGTGGGTTTTATTTTGGAAGTACATGCGGTGGATGTTAGTTGACCCTAAAGGTTTAATAGGGAATATAAATGTTAATATTAATGGGGAATCTTTTTTTTTATCAAAACAACAATTATAAGAAGGGTATTAAAATATAGCTGTATTGTATAATATTTTATCTTCAGTGCTCAGCATAATTGAGTTCATTTTAAAATATGAATATTTTTATCCATTTCTCAGTGAATATAAGCAAATTAGGAAACATTTATAATATTTTGGTGCATGTTATATGCATATTAAAAACAACAGATTTATTAAACCAATATATTTTTATAAAATAATATTTTAGTCACCAAACATTTTTAGAAATTAAAAGATGCTATTATATTTAAGCAAAATATTGCAAAAATAAATTGCAGCCTACAAAATTTTAACTAAATTTTTATTTTCTTTTCTTTCCTTCTTTTTTAAAATTTTCATTGATTTTTTTTTCTATAACATATACATTGTTGTGTACTAGTTTTTGGATCGTTATTTTGTAAGATAAGCTCTAGATTATCTTCAGTACTTACTAATCTAATGTATATGCACAAAAAAATATTGTAGAGCTTCCTATTAAAAATATGAATTTAAAAGATAGAATTATGAGTGTACTTATATTTGCTATTTAAATCTGCTGATGACTGTAATGTTACATTTTTCTTTTGTGGTGTTCTGATTTGTAATTTAAAAAACATTTTTTTTTATATTATAAATACTTATAATAATAAATATTTTTGTTATACATCTGAAAGCTACAAGCTTGAAAGAATTCATTAATTAAATAGCGGCATCACTGATTTAACCAGCAAATTATTAAATACGTTGAAGTCAGAATTATTAGCCCCCCTTTGATTTTTTTTTTTATTTTTTAAATATTTCCCAAATGAAGTTTAACAGAGCAAGGAAATTTTCACAGTATGTTTGATAAAAAAAAATTCTAGGGAAAGTTTTATTTGTTTTATTTTGGCTAGAATAAAAAAGTTTTTATATTTTTCAAAAACACTTTTAGGGACAAAATTATTAGCCCCTTTAAGCTATATTTTTGGATAGTCTACAGAACAAACCATCGTTATACAATAACTTGTCTAATTACCCTGCTTAGTTAACCTAATTAACCTAGTTTAGCCTTTAAATGTCACTTTAAACTGCATAGAAGTTTCTTGAAAAATATCTAGTCAAATATTATTTACTGTTATCATGGTCATGGCAAAGACAAAATAAATCAGTTATTAAATGACTTATTAAAACTATTATGTTTAAAATTGTGCTGAAAAAAATCTCTGTTAAACATAAATCAGGGATAAAAATTAACAGGGGGTTTAATAATTCTGACTTCAACTGTATAAATAAATATTAAATCATAAAAAGATTTTGAAAATGACATAAAGAACCAGGGTTACGTATTTTATGGAATATTTGTGTAATTATGCACTTAAAATCCCTCACATTAGCAGTTTTAAAAGCATAAATTAAAAAATAAAACTAATACATGTTGAAATCAGTTTTAAAAATATGGTATAAAGACAAACACTGCAAAAATGATTTTAAAAAATGATTGCAGTGTATTTATTTTTCTGTATTTCAAAAGGGTATGTTTTACTTGAAATTGTCACATTTAGTTCAGTGTGTTTCTTCCAAATTATTTAAGCTTCGTTTACTAACAGTAAAGAGGAGTGAAGAAAACATAATTACATGCCTATAATGTATTGTTTTGTGTAACAAAAGTCTAACCAACAAATGCTAATAAAATAAGATCGTACATCCTAACCCTACTCCTAATTATACAACATAAAAATATAATAACATAATACACTAGTCATAATCATCAGTAATTCAACAAATGTCAGAATCGCAGGATTAAATCCGAGGCAGCTTTACTGTCTCTGAGCGCCGAAATCAGGCTGGTTTGATCGGATGTGTGTCAGAACTAACAGACTGCCTCTCACAGGCAGTCCCTTGAGGAGCTTGACTGATGGGAAAGTGATTGGGCAAGAGCGCCCCCTGCTGGACACTAACGAGCCCTTCAGCGCCCAAAATCCCCTCACGGACAATATGGACCTCCTCTGTGAGGCTTGTGATTTTGTAATTAATACAATTACGAAACACCTTATTATGCCGCGACTTAACACGATTCTACACGGGTTTTTTTTTCTTTTTTGGATGGACGAGAAGTTGAGAGTCTAAAAAGTGTGCAGTGGAAGAAGTATTGCATATTTATACCGTGACACGATGCCAAGGCGATGTAAGGGGAGAGATATCGCAGATCAAGCCGTGCCAACTGCACTTCCTACAGGACAGCTGCCATCGGTTGAGTGCCCAGCCGTGAGTGAGTCTGCCCACCATCTGATGACTGGG